TTGGATTGAAGATAGGTTTAGCACTACTGTAACTCACAGAAACTGTAGCTTGCTGGAAAAAGAAACTAGTTGTCGGAACAGTCGCCGAAAACTGCAAATAAAACGCCGAAAAATAAAAAAGTCATCGGAATTAGGTTTAAACCGGATAGGTAGAGTCGGAAGAGCCTTGAGAACAAGTTGTCCCGAAGAAGGTCGGCCAAAAAATGGTCCGAAGAGGTCCCACGCGCAGGCGCGTGGAACAGATCTCGCTGGAAAAAAAATTCTCTTACCAGCGCGTGAGAGCGCATGAAGCTTCTATTGCTGGAGATTCTTTTTGGGTTTGGTAGTCGAGGGATGGGGGACCTTGTAGTGATGCTGGTTTTCGCACAACACCAATAGAAACTGATTTTACGAAAAACAACCCTAGGAAGTCTCCGGAAATTGACGCACGGCGACTGTTTGACTTTCTCGGATGTGTCTCACTCGCGCTCTGATACCATGTGAGAAATAATACACGGGAAAAAATATTATTGATATATTAACAATGGTACAATGAATCCTATATATAATACATCTATTCTTACTACATATGGGACTAGGACTAATTACGCATATACATATTCTAACAAGTTAAAATTTCAATTGAGAGACATTTTCCTATATCATTTTTTATTTTATTTTTAAAAAAAACAACTTGATGAAAGTTAGTGGTCTGCTCAAAAATGACCTAGAGCATGCAAAAACGATTTCATCAACTGCCTTAAAGAATTCTCCTTAGCTTGTATAAGTAGATCTTGCACCTTAAACATAAAATAAAAAACTTACATAAGATCTGATATTTAAAAATATTCAAAAAGAAGAGGGGTGGGTCCCTTAGATCCAAGGGCTTAGAATTGTTGGGCTAAGTGATCCAATGATTAAAATTGAATTACTTGGCAAACTTCCATTATAAACCCTCCTTCTCTTGGAGGGTGTCCTTTACGTTGGATGATTTATAAGTTTATTATTGGGTCCTCAACATTCACTAACTGCCAATTACCTGATATGAATAATTTTACTCAATTGAATTTATATCTAACTATTTTTAAGGAATTGAAAGAACTTACTAACCAATAAGCAAACGTATTCTCTATTAGTAAATGAGTTTTCAAATAACACAAATAATTGGATTTCAAGAATATGGCAATTTTTTTTTTTTACACATCATATTAAAAAATAGAAAATGAGGGTCAATTATAATGCATATACTGTTTTATGAAAGTTGGGATGTTACAACTCTTGCCCTTAAAAAAATTTGACTGAAACTTACCTGATACTAGTCATGGAGTAAATGTGGACGTTATAGTGGCATGTCTTCTTCCCATACCTAAGTAGCTTCCTTCCTAGAATGGCTTCTCTAATGGACTCTCATTAAGTGAAAATTCTTGTTCCTAAGCTCCTTAACCTCATGCACCAAGATCTGGATAGGTTTTTCATATGTTAAGTCATGATTGACTTCAATAAACTCAGCAGGAAAAACATGTGATGAATCAAAGAGATATTTCCTCAGCATAGAAACATGGAAGGCATTACAGATCTTGTCTAACTCAAGTGCTAAGGCTAGTTTCTATTCAACTGGATCATGGGCCAACTCTCTTAAGTACTTCTTTAAGGCCCAATGAATCGAGGACTAAGTTTCACCTTTGGCCAAATCTCATAATTTTCTTCCACAGAGAAACTTTTAAAAGTACCTCATCACCCACTTCATGTTCAATTTCACACTTCTTAAGATCAACATAGGACTTTTGTCCATCTGGAGCAGTTTTTAATCAGTCCTTAATGATTTTACCTTGTCTTCAGTTTGTTGCATAATTTCAGGACATAAAAGTTTTCTTTCACCAACTTCACTCCAACAAAGAGAAGTTCTATATTTACATCATATAAAGCTTCATAACGAGGCATGCTGATACTTGATTAGTAGCTATTATTATATCCAAATTCTATCACGGCCAACTGCTCGTCCAACTACCCTCAAACTCAATAATACATGCTCGAAGCATATCATCCAAGATTTCTATCATGGCCAACTGCTCATCCAACTACCCTCAAACTCAATAACACATGCTCGAAATATATCATCCAAGGTTTCTATCACGCCAACTACTCGTCCAACTACCCTCAAACTCAATAAAACATGCTCGAAGCATATCATCCAAGATTTGTATTACCCTGTCGTACTGGCCATCTATTTGTGGATGGAAAGCAGTAATGAAACTCCCTTAGGGAAAGTCCTTTGGAGAAACATTGTAGAAAGGAGCTACTTGGGAGCTGGAGAGTACATGTGACTACAGTATCCACATTACTCATGACTAGTATAGATCTCTGTTTTAAAAGACGTTTCTGGGGCGAGGCGTACCAAAAACGCCCTGGGGCGATGGTGTGGGGCGAAAGTCTCAAGAGGCGTACGCCCCGCAATTTGGGGCGTACGCCCGGGCGTTCGGGGCGCGTTTTTTAGTAAGGAGTAAGCCCCAGAAACTTTTTCAAACTAAAACAAAATTTGTTGAATTAGTCCTTCATATAATACCCAAATTCTCAAAAGTCAGTTTGTTAATTACTCAAAAGGTTTAAAAAGGAACTCAAAAGTATTAAATTTAAAAGTAAAGACCTTTTTTATTGATTTAAGCCCTAATTCATTGTTTTCCCAATTTTTTATCTTGTCCGCTAGTCTGCTAATATCTCCCAAAAGCAACGAATATTTAATTTTTTTTACAAATACAAAGAGAACTACATTCTTCTTCATAGCAGCAAATTCAAAGTTCAAATTGCAGGTTAATCATCCTTTTTGTTCCTCCATATAGAAAACTTTATTCTTTGACTCAAATTACTTGTGCTTATAAGTAACGTATAATAGATTGTTTTGATTAGTTTTTTGTGGGGATGGAGCACACACATATATAGTTTTCTTCAATATTTATGCAATTTTACCTGTTTATAAATATTTACTGTCATTATATTATTTTATAAAATATTAAAAACTAAATACCTATGGGGCTTACGCCCCGCTGAGGCATATGTAAAACGCCTCGCCTTACGCCCACGCCTTTTAAAACACTGGTATAGATAAATTGTTTGGGAATCTTTTTAAGGGAAGAGAGTTGTAACACTCAAATTTTGATAAAAACATTATATGCATCATAATTGACACTTCATTGTTTTTTAAAATACGGTGTGCAAAATGTTTTCTTCACTCCTTTCTTGAAATTCAAATATTTGTGTTATTTGAACATTTTTGTTCTAATAGAGAATAAATCTATATAATCTATGCTTATTGATTAGAAGGTATTTCCAATTCTTTAGAAATATTCAGACATAAATTGAATTGAGGAGAATTATTCCTACCGGGTAATATCGAGTGATTGCACTTCACGAAATATAGACATAGATTGAACACTATATAATAAAGTTAAAAATCATCTTGGAAGGAGACTATTACATGACTTAGAACCTCAAGGACTCCCATGTACTTTCTCCAAGACAGGGAGGATCTATAACGCAAATTTGCTAAGTCATTTAATTTGAACCATGAAATCACTTACTTTAGCAATTCTAAGCCTAAGATCTAGTGGATACTTTTCCACTCCTCTTTATTGTCACTCACGTTGGAAGAATCTCATTTTGTCACAACTTATCTTCTTCTTCATTTCCCCCATTAAAGCTCTCAATAGCATGTTTCTTTTCTCATGAAAACACAACTCTACATTTAAAATCCATTATGTCTTCCATATAAACAAATAATGTAGACTTGGTTTTGGAAGAATCAAAAGACATCGCTCTCCTTGTGGTAAGACTATTAATCAAACTTTATTTTTTGACATGGTTGAGTTTTTAGTTAGTGCACTTGATATTAAGAACTTGATCTCGTTTGTTACTGTACAACATTTAGTAAATTGACTATAACTATCTTTCTAGAACTCGGATTAAGGTGATTCAAAATTCTGGAGAAAACTAAGACACATATCTACAACTTTTGTGAAGACCAAAAGATCTAATAAATATTTCATTTATTAAATTTCAATGCCTAACCTTTATAACTTGATTTAACTTTGATTATATCATGTAAGGGCTTTCTCTTTTCATATTTTGACTTCATTTTATAATGGGAAATTAGAACATGTAGAAAGCGTTAATTGCAAGTTCTCGCTAATTCGAAATTTTCTTTTCCCATAAGAGAGAGAGAGAGAGGGGGAAAGGGCAGGTTGGCCTCATTATGGCATTCATCTCCTATTAAGAAATTAGTTGTGCAAATAATATTTTGAGATTTATCACCACTGCTGACCTTAACTATTTAGTATTGTTTTTATCCAGGTTTTATCAGCTAATTTTACTAGACCCTAAAGTTAATATTCAACACCTTACGTGGTTAAGCTGTTCACACTACTACCTGATCAAATTATTCTAGAAAACAACTTAAAGTGCATTAGCTTCCTAATTTATTTGCCCCACAAAGTATGGATTGAACTTGTCATTCAACTTGTACTTTCAGTTTTAATATGGCATGTTGTTGTCTGGTCGTGAATATCTCCGCTAAAATGACCAATTAAGCGTGACAAAAGTCAGCAAAGATGACACACAGAACAAAAATGTAAAAAAAGAAAAGAGGACCTGCATGCATGATTTCAATAGAAAGAACAGAGACGTTAATTATTTCCAACGAAAAATCAAAAGTTCCCATATGTTTTATCAAAAACTGTTCTTCTAGACGATGAAAAATACATTGTGTCCTATGTCCAGACAATGAAAATGTAATAAATGCACCTCCTTTTTAGGCACTTCACAGAAAAGGAACTCTTAAGTTACTGCGTCTAGCCATGTGAATGGTGTTCAACCAACAATAAACATTCCATAGACAAGACTATATAGGCACCTTTGCATGCTTTTCATGTTGCATATTGACATCACAATCGGGCTTGTAAATAATCAAATCCACATACACAGTGCCAGCAAAGCAGAGAATATATAAATAGCTAGTACGACATGCCTACCGAGTTTGAAATGATGCATTCGTCGAGCCACCTTAGAGTACGTTCAACTGAGGCTTTGTTCCTTTTTTCAGAAGCCCAAGCAGGAACTTCATCGGCTAAAGTGGTCCATAAATTTGGCCTCATAGAAGAAATCATTTCCATGTATTCTGCAGGCTTAATCTGCCAACAACACAGAAAATTGTCATTGAACAAATACACTTAATGGGAGGAAAAACATACAAGAGAATGGATTGTAACTAGGGTAGTTGCAACTAAAACAAAAAGGCTGTCAAATTAAAAACAAAAATAAGAAAGAAAGGGATAAATAAGTTACCAACATACGACCAGAAGGAGTTTCAAAGGAAGCTCCAATCCTGTTAGTACTGTCATGGTCTGGGATAGATATAATAGAATCCCTTGGTACAGCTACAAGTATATGATCACGTAAACCAAGCAATGGGTGCAATCCTCCAATGGTTGAGATTGCTTTCAGGGAAATGCCTTCCAGGCTAGAACAAGAAAATTCAAAAATGCTGAATTGTTTGAATCACCTCATCTAAAAGGTTAAACTGTTCTAAAACCAACACTCTTTACTTGGTTATAAATTTTCAAATTTATTCTTGTTGGTCTTCAACAAGGGACAGAGTGCACCCCTCACGTACAGTGGTGGCGAACCACCTTATCTAAAACTAAAACGGATAGAGAGGTAGACCTTTTTATTTAGTTTTTCTGATATTGGTCTTCACTCTTGAAGAAGTAAGAAAAGAGCACCCGNAACTTATTTACATGGCTTTACTTTGACAGTTACAGCACGGACAAAATAACAAACATCTTGTCTACGACCCATTGAATTATGACAGCTAGTAAAACTAAGAGAAACTTAGCGGAGAAGCAAAGGAAACTTACAAGTGAAGAGGGCTGAAATGGAAGAGGAGAGAATCAGGGGAAGGGAGGGAAGGGAAGTGGTCAGGAGGAATGAAAACAGGCAAGCCTTTGCGAGTTGTAAGGAGGAGAGCAGGTGTCTCTATTGGGTGAGGGCAGCTTCCCAGCTGAACAACACCAACTCGGGCTTTGCCCTTGCTCCATGCCTTCACCGCGAACTTCATTCTCGCCGACAGTCTACTCTTCCCGCCCTCAGCTGTTAAACCCCAAAAAAAAGAGAACGAATAAGGTAAACAATCCAATATTACCATTAATTGCTCTTTACATATACTATTATTATAGGAAAAACGATGATTTCATTCATACCTATATTTCAGCTTTGATACCTGCATAATTTAACCGAGCATGCTTAACCAAATTAATATTTATTTAAAAACAAATTAAATAAAAGAGACACAGGAAAAAATAACATGAGTGAAGACTGAAGCTACGTTTAAAGGTCCGGACGAAAGCTCCTTTCCTTTGGGTTAAATATAAAATAAAAAAATAAAAATAAAAAATAAAAAAAAAAGTTAAATCTGGTTGAAACTCATAACCTTAAAATAACAGTAATACTAACTAATAAACTCAAATGCAAATCAGGATTAAATTTTGTCAGTAACGGTAGGCTTAGAAATAACCCATAATGCGCATAAATATTTGATCAATAAGTATGTTCTAATTTTCAACCTTTTCAATTGGGTATTAATAATATTGAGGTAAGCATAAACATTTGTTCAGAGTAAATTTTAATTTTTAATCTTTATAATTGGGTATAATATTATTGAGGTTCACTCTGTCGGGATTTGTACTTCCTTCGTTTCAATTTGTTTGAACACTCTCGGAGTACGAAGGTAAAATTGATTAGTTTTTTGTGTGAATTGATTCTTTCATTTTTTTAAAATAAAATTAACATATTTAGAAACTACGTAAAAATACTATAAGCCGCAAAGTTAACAATTCAAAATATGTAAAAACTATTTGCAAAAAATATGATCAAAGAAAATCTTGTTTGAATCCCCAAATAGTAAAAGACTCTTTCTCTTTGAAATGAAGTGACTAACTAGTTTGTTGTTATTAATTAATTTGTTTGAATTTACTGTTATTTAGGATATTAATTTTCGATTGGAATTATTGTACCAAAATAAGGTTAATTTCTTTTAGAAGAAAAAAGAAATCAATAAACTTGGGTAAGACAAGAAGAAAGAACAAATAAAAAGATTTTGTTTTACGCTTTAATGTTCAATTTTTTTATTTTATGTTAATTCTTGTGGTGTTATTTATTTTAGGACTAGTCTCTACACGTGCTTTGCACGTGATCTTATAAAAATTGAATATGAATATTTAATATCAAGATAAATGTGGAGTGAAATAATACATTGTCTAAAACTTTTTCATATTATTCTAATATTTAAAAAAACTAATAGAATGTCACTCACTAATAGTAATAAAAGTTATACAAAATCAATTGCATTCCATGTGTTTCAAATTCTTGAAAAGCAACGATACGACTTTTCAGTGTTTCCGTAGATTTTCTTTATTCGGAGAAGGGTAAGACATATCCCTTTACTATAAAATATTATTTAAAATTGTCTTCCGTTATACTAATCGATTAAAATTGTCCCTACCGTCTTACTATTGAACATAATTGCCCCTCATTTGACGGAAGGGACACGTGGCAGCCTTCTAAGTATTTTTGATACCCAACCCGTTATCCATATTGAATACCCAATATCCACAACCCTAATCCCGACCTATCCCAAGACTTATTTCATTTCCTTCACAAGAAAAACTCCTTCCTCCAAAATATGGAAGTGTTCAAAAATGGTGGTCCTTAAATTTAACACTAAATTCTTCCAACGAGCAGTAGTTGATCTCTTTGATTTAAGCACATACAACACCACGATTCAATTCTCAAGAAAATAATGTTTAATAGAATTTCAATATAGAGACAATTCAAGTTCAAAGAACTCTAATTTTGCAGTGATATTTGCAACCTCAATTCTCAACAGCAAACATTATAAATTAGAATAAGATTAATGCTCAAATGCCAACTGCAAAGTACTGTCAAATCCTTAAATTTCATTTTTTTCAATCATAGAAGCACTAACAAGATTTTTCAAGCTTAGTTGCTCGAATTTTTCGATTCGGAAAGTGGAGATTTTTTTTTTTTGAACCTCAAATCTGATTCATCAAGGAACCCCACAACTCTTTTACTTGCAAATCTTCTTTAACCAAACTAAAAATTAGTGGTTAATCTAAGATTTTAGCTCAACAAAATAGACCCAGATAATTATTTCAGTAGAATAATTCTAATACTTCAACAATTTTGGTTTCAACTTGGATAACTTAAGAACCCAACAGTTGGAGTTCGATTATTTTTACCCAGTTCTTTAAATCAGTTGCTAGCATAATTCTGAATCAAGAGCAGCTCCAAACAATCAAACCAATATTAGGATTTTCAAGCATCCAATAGCACAAAAATTCCTTTTCGAAATTTCCTTTTTTTTTGTATGATTTATGATCTGAAAATCAAGGAAATAAACAAGTGATTGTTCTAAAAATTTTCTAGTCTACACTCTAAAACAAAAAAGATTCAATTTGTAAGAAATTTGGAAGCATGGAGGAAGGAGCTTCACTTGGGAAAGAGATAAACTAAGAGAAAGGGACGGGGATTAAATTGATTAAGTCTTGGGATGGGTCACGTATAGGGTTATGGATATCAGGTATTTAGTATGGGCAATTGGTTGGGTATTTAAAATATTTACAAGGCTGCCACGTGTTCCTTCCATCAAATGAGGGGCAAATATGTTTAATAGTAAGACGTCAGGGGCAATTTTGATCGATTAGTATAACGGAGGACAACTTTAAATAATATTTGATAGCAGAGGGATATATCTGACCATTTTCCGCTCTTTATTTGATTGCATATTACACTTGAATTCAAACTTGAATTTAACTAGTAGAATCTTAATAACTAGGGGAAAAGGTCAAATATACCCCTCTACTTTAGTATATTGTTTATATCTACCCTCCGTTATACTATTGGGCCACATCTACCTTTACCGTTAGCCAATTTTTTAAAAAATACCTCTCACCCAACGGAAAACCACCAAATTAAAAAAAAGACTTATTTTTTTAAACCCATTAATAACCCGTAAACCCCTTTTATTTGCTGCACTTTTTTCTCAAAGATTAGTCATCTCTTTCGTAGTCACTTGTTGAACTGAAGAAGTGAAAGAAATAAAAATACCGACAACCATATATTCATTTATATATTTAGTCACAATTCTTTTAATATCATGTATGTTTATTATATTCTACCTTTTCCAATTTCTTTTTTCTTCTTCTAGCTTTTCTCTTTGTTTTTTTTTCGTCATGTCGAACTGTACCGAGTATTCATCATAATTTTCTTTCCACCATGACTTGAATGTTTATAGTATCTTATTAGGTTGACAGTTTTGAAGTCTTAAGGCAACTACCGAGGTATTTCTTCCTCCAATTGTGAGCCTTTATTGATGAGTATTTAAGCACTATGATTTTATTATTCTATTTTAAGCATTTGAGCTACGAGTATTATCGCTAAATTACGCCTTAAGAACCAAAGTTAGAGTCCAAGTTATGGGGTGTGATACTCATAATTCTTAGTAACAACTGGACTTATAATGAACAAAAATTATAAAATAATTAGAGGAGATTCAATTTAATATCAAGCTACAATCTAAGGAATTCATCAAGAATAAAAGAAAGTACACCACCAAGTTGGAAAGTAACTTAACAACATAAGCACACTAACTTCATATATTAACTAAACACAAGTATTGTTAAAGTATATATCAGTTGTTACCAACATACAAACCAACTATCAAGTGTGCATTACATTAGACAAAGGGATGCCATATTATATAACCACACAAAAATACAACCGAAAGTGATAACATGACATCCTAATGCTACCATGAACAACTAAGAACCAAAATATAAGTTTTTACTAATCCTACCGCCACCATCATTCTCACTCTCTCTCTAAATGAATAAAATGTATTAAGACGTCTCAGAAATTTAGGTTCCGTATTTTTATATGATGGGTTTAACGGGTTGTGGATTAATATATTTTTTTTAATGATTTTTTTTTAATTTGATGATTTTTTGTTAGGTGGAGGGTATTTTTAAAAAGTTTGGCTAACGGTAAGGGTATATGTGGCCTAATAGTATAACGGAGGGTGAATGTGAACAATATACCAAAATAGAGGGGTATATTCGACCTTTTCCCTAATAACTACATGAACTGATCGTTTGACCTTTTTTATTTCGATTTTTATGACATTAATTGTAAATTTTTAATTCATTAGCAATTAATCCATTACAGTATATTGAGACTTCTAATATTATTCATCAATCTATGTGTTTCTTTGTCTGTTTTAATTTATATTTATATTACTTCTTTTAATCTCTTGGTTTTTCTTTTGTTTTAGTGTCTCTAAATATGGATAATTGTCATTTGAAAATCAGAAAATGTAAAAGAAAATATTAACCGGCTGTCGAAAAAAAAATCGTTGTATACCTTTACCCAAACATATATTATCGTTTATGCAACAATATCTTATTTAAGTTATTTTTTATAGTTATTCACGTACGCTGTTCAATAATATTAAATATATTTATTACAAAAAAGTATTTGGGTATCTCAGTATAATTAAAAATCATTGCACAAAGTAAACCCGATGAAAACACCTTAGAGTCTTACATCATTTACAAATGTTGTTAGATGATCTAAAATACATGCTATATGTTTTTTTCAAGAATAAAAAGAGTAATTACCTAGAAGCTTGCTTGTAATCCAATTTGTTCGGGGAGTTTATATGTCCAAAGTTTTGGGGCAAGTGCACATAGCTATTCTAAGGGATGCTATTTAGAGATTACTCAATACTTATTTTGTCCTAAAATTTTAAACTAAAAATTTTAACTTCAGGATAATTCATGATATTTTTGCCCCGAAAAATTAAACTGGAAAACTGAAATTCATGACGCACTGGCTAATTCCTACATAGTAGCCCTTTAGAGTGGCTACCTGGTGTATTTACCAAAATTTTGTCTTCTCAAATTCACTTCTGAATCATTTAATTGGTTAAAAGTTAGTTTGTTACTTAAAAAACCATAGCCCGGTAGCCAGACTCTTCACCGTTTTCGGAGACACTCTTTATTTAATTACATATCAAACGTGAATATACTAATAATTCTAATAACAAACTAATAATCCATATTCACATATTGAATCTAAGTAGTTACATCAACTAATCGTCCCACCTTTTTTATTGCTCTCCTAAATTGATTTTTATGACATTATTTATAATTTTTTTGTAACGACCCGACCGGTCGTTTTGTGTAATTGCGTCATGTTTTCCCTTTTGATGTTTCACACATGTGTGTTTATGGTTATGACTTACGGGGTTAATTAGTTTCGTTTCGGGATGATTGCGGGTTAATTTGGACCCTTTGATTCTTGGTTTAGAAGCCTAAATTATTTATGTTGACCAATAGTTGACTTTTGTGAAAACGACCCCGGGACGGTGTTTTGATGGCTCTGTTAGATTCGTATCGTGATTTTGAATTTGGGCGTATGCCCGAAACCGAATTCGGAAGTCCATAGGTTGATTTGTGTTGTTTTGCTGAAATTTAGCAATTTGAAATTGAAAAGTTTGACCGTAGGTTGACTTTTGGCTATCAGAATCGTAATTTGGTTTTTGGACTTGGAATAGGTCTGCTATGCTATTTAAAACTTGCCTGCAAAATTTGGTATCGTTTGGTTGATTTAATAGGATTCAGACGTTTAGTTGCAATTCTAGAGGTTCTTGAAACTTACTTTAAAATTCATGTGTATAGGTGTCCTATTCGTAGTTCTAGATGTTATTTTTGTGTGTTGATTGCGCGAGCGAGTTTGTATGATATTTTTCGACTTGTGTGGATGGTTGGTTTGGAGCCTCGAGGGCTCGGATGAGTTTCAGACATGTTTCGGAATGTTTTGGACTGAAAATGGAATTGCTGGTGTTGCTGGTGCTCTGTTATCGCAATTGCGAGGCTGGTGCTCACAATTGCAAAGGTGACCGNGGCTCTGATGTCGCAATTGCGACTGGCCCCTTCGCAATTGCGAAGTCAACAGGCCTGGGCTTAGGTTGCTTTTGGGAATAATTGTTCGCTTTTGCGAAGGTGTCCAGCTTCGCAATTGCGACAATTGTTGAGGCTGTCGGGGTTTACAAATGCGATACCTGATCCGCAATTACGAGTTGCAACTAGACAAAAGGGATGGGAGTCGGGATTTTTCTACATATTCTCTCATTTTAGAATCCTAGACTCGGTATGAGACGATTTGGAGAGGGGATTTTCATCTACAAATATTGGGTAAGTGATTCTAATCAATTTCCAACTATATTTCATCAATATATCTTAGATTTAACATCAAAATCATGTGAATCAAAGTGAATATTTGTGAAACTTTGTCAATTTTTAAAAAATAAGAGTTTGAGTTTTGAGAGTCGATTTGGACTCGGATTTCGAAACTAATTATATATATATATATATATATATATATATATGGACTCGTGGGGTTATGCATAGTCGGAATCTACCCTTGGCCCGGGGTTTTGAAAGGGCTAGCTTCGGGTTGACTTTTGTTGACTTTATGAAAAAGTGTAAAAATCATAGCTTTATCTATTGTTATTATTTTCCCTTGCATTGTTTGATGATATTAAGTCAATTTTGGTTAGATTTGAGCCGCGTGGAGGCAAATTTTAGGGGAAAAGCTATTTTTCGAGGATTGGGTTGGCCTAGTTGAGGTAAGTATCTTGCCTAACTTTGTGTAGGGGAACTACCCCTTAGGATTTGGGACTGATTGTGTTATTTGTGCTATATGAAAGCCGTGTACGCAAGGTGACGAGTGGGTACACGGGTTATATGTGGTATTTGACCGGTTTAGGCTACTTAGACTCTTTCCATGCCTTAATTGAATTGTCTTATCATGTTTTAAATTCTCATAGTCAATCTACTCTTACTTGTGTTAGTCTATCCTTATATTCCGTATTTGACTTTGTTAACACTTGTTCTACATCTTGCTTGATACTTTGCTCTTATGCTTTAGTTGAAGTTGTTGCCTCTTTTGTTGTTACATGTTATCTCTTCCATTGTTGACTTATCCTTATTTGAAGTCATTGCTATATGTCATCTCTTCCATTGTTGATTTATCCTTACTTGAAGTCATTGTTACACGTTATCTCTTTCCTTGTTAACTTATCCTTATTTGAAGTCCCCGTTACATGTTATCTCTCCTATTGTGATTTATTCTTATTGATATCGTGGTTACACATTATCTCTCTCATTGTTGAGTTATTGGTGTTGAAGTTGTAAAAGCAGTTATCACATTGAGGCGAAGTTGTTAATTGTTGAGATATATTCCTGTTGAGAAATTTACATTCATTGTTGCTGTTGATATTCTTGTACACATTGTGGTTGAGCTATGAGCTATTATTGTGAAAATATTGATATTGTTGATTATTGGTAAGTTGTGGCATATGGACACTTGTGGTGCGAGTTGTTATTGTGATGTGATATCAATGTGCATGCGTCGGTATAAGGATAGGGGTTAATGTGCATGCGGCGGCGTAAGGTGGGACTTATGTGCGTGTTGCTTGTAAAGAAATTACTTGAAGCCACACAACGTCATAAGATGGGCTAAAGTGCGTGTAACTATTTTGGAAAAAATGTTTTCAAAAGTATTTAAATGTAAGGCTCACGTGGCGGCATAAGGAACGATTGTGATTGAAATTATGAAAAGTAAATACGAGACGGTAGCTCGGTTGTAATTCTTGTTATATACGAGACAGTACCTCATTTGTGATTCTTGTTTTATACGAGGCAGTACCTCGTTTGTGATTCTTGTTTTATATGAGGTGGTACTTCGTTTGTGATTCTTGTTTTATATGAGGTGGTACTTCGTTTGTGATTCTTGTTGTTTATCTCAGGTTGTAAAGAGTTATTGGTGAAATAGTTCTTGTTGCTTTTATCCTTCCTTGTCTTATCAAGTTTGTCCGCGTTTGACTATTGTGGTTCTCTTTAATTGCTTTCTTTATGTTATCTCTATGCTTACAATTATGTCATTAGTCTATGTTATTAACTTGTTTCGTATCATTTATTTCTCCGCTTTCCATTACTTCTCGCTATTATGTTTTCGTTTCGTTTATTATGTCCTAATGTGTCTTGACCTAGCCTCGTCACTACTCTACCGAGATTAGGCTTAATACTTACTGGGTACCATTATGGTGTACTCATACTACGTTTCTACACATCTTTAATGCAGATCCAGGTACGTCTGCCCGGGCTGGACGTTTGTGTTTGATTATAGCTATCATCCAGAGACTTCAAGTTATGCATGCTCGGCGCCCGCAGGCCTCAGAGTCACCTTTCCTTATCTTTTATTTCTGTTGTATTTTTCATTCAGACAATGTTGTAGTAGACATTCTAGATTATTTTGTAGAGCCTATGACTCAATTCTATCGGTTTTGGGAAGTGTGTTATTGAGATCCTATTTTGGAAGTTTATATGAGTTTATCAGTCTTGCTTTAGTATTTCTGTTGATTATTTCTGTCAAGTTATTATTAAATGTTAGGCTTACCTAGTCTTAGAGACTAGGTGCCATCACGACATCCTAAGGAGGAAAATTGGGGTCATGATAAGTTGATATCAGAGCTCGAGGTTCATAGGTATTGCGAGTCATAAGCAGGTTTAATAGAGTCTTGCGGATCGGTACAGAGACGTCTGTACCTATCTTCGAAAGGCTACGGAACTGTTAGGAAAACTTCATTTCTTTGATTCCTTATCGTGCGAATTGATTGACTTCGAAATCTAAATCTTTGACTTTCTATTCTCTCACAGATGGCGAGGACACACACTTCTGGATCCGACGATCAGACACTCGCCCCCCTGCTAGAGCCGCAAGAGGCTGGGGCCGGGGCAGAGGCCGAAGGAGGGCACGTGGTAAAGCTAGAGCACCTGTCCGAGCTGCGGCTGAGGAGCCACCAGTAGCTCCAGTTGGGGGACAGGCACCCGAGGCACCTGTTGCCACCCCTGCACTTCAGTTGACCCTCGCACAGTTCTTGAGCATGTTAGGTACTCTAGTTCAGGCGGGGTTGATTCCACTTGCACCGGCCATATCTCAAGCTGGGGAAGGAGATCAGTCCCCTGCGGCTCGTACTCCAGAGTAGTGGGTCCATGTGGATCAGGTCCCAGAGGTTATGCCAGCTCAGCCTATTATTCCGGTTCAGCCCGAGGTTAGGGCAGTAGCATCTTAGGAAGAGCAGCTTAGAGTTAAGAGGTTCAAGAAGTATCATCCTTCTACTTTTAGTGGCTTTGCTTCAGGGGATGCACAAGATTTTTTAGAGAAGTGTCATCGTATTCTCTACACCATGGGTATTGTGGAGACGAGCGGAGTTGCTTTCACTACATTCTAGCTGTCAGTAGGAGTGTACAATTGAAACCGACAAACCGCACCAAATCGGAAAAAAAAAAACCGATAGTGGTTTGGTTTGACTTGGTTTGGTATTGGAAAAAGAAACCCGATCATAATTGATTTGGTTTGGTATTAACGGAAAAAAGTCAAACCGAGACCAAACCAACCCGACATTACATATATATATTTTTAGAATTATTTTATAGATTAAAATATTAATATAATATAATTTCCAAATCATTATTTAAATTTATCAAGATCTTTGTTTATTAACAATGTAATAATAGGATGGAATTAAATTGTAGCCCACTCTTTTAGAACAATAAAATAATCCCAAGCCCAAAGCAAATTACACCCCTAAATCCCTAATGTCAGTAGTTGTTCATTTTATGAAAGCAAGTAAAAAACTAGCCTTCAACTTCAAGGTTTGTTCAAGTCGTCATTGTCATCCTCCTTTTAAGACCAGTTCATCATCTTGATTTCAGGTATTATCCATGACATTTTAATCTGTTTTTCAACCTTAGAAAGAAAGAAAGCGGGAAAGAAAGAAAACCATTACTTTTGAATTGCATTGCAAATAAATTAGTTTCTGTTCTTCTATTTTTTTAATTGTTTATTACAGACTTTTGCTTTGTAACTTGACCTTTGACAAAATTATTCAGTTTACATTGCTTCTTCTACTGTAGTGACATTTTAATGGTTCCTAAATGGAAGTCATTGTAGAGCGACGAAAAAGATTTACTTTTAGCGCGCCTATATATGTGTTTGCAATTAATTAGCTTTCTAAGTAGTTCAATTGATTAGTATTCATTCATTGACTTGAATGCTTTTTCTGTTTCAGATCCCTCTGGCTCATAAACTTTTATTGAGTCAATTTTGTGCAAATCTCGAATACATTTGATCTTCCTGCTCCATTTGTACTGCACACTGGCTGCCCTCATTATTGGCACTATCATCTTCCAGGTTATTACTTATTCTTGCTAGCTCTTAGGTTTGTCCTGTTCTTATGGGGTGTAAGATACTATTTTTGTTGAAATGTATCAGCCAGGTGAGACGGAGGAGGAGTTCTCAACCAGATTGGCTAAAAATCTAGAAGATCTTATCCTCAAAGAGGGGCCTGAAACAGTAACTTTTGTCAACTTTAACTCACTACTGCTCAGTTTCTGCATTTAGGGTAATTTATTACTGATTAATTTACTTTTTTGCCTCAGATAGCTGCTTTCATTTCTAAACCAGTCATGGGGGGCAGGCGGTGTCATACCTCCTCCAACAACTTATTTTGACAAGGTAGTTTTTCTTTTGCCCATTTGTCTGTTCTTTTTCATTCTTGTGGGGGAAGTTATATTTGTTATTGCATTGCTAGTTTTTAGCATTATTGGTGATAATTCGTATGTAGAATGCAATATAAAAAATCTTGTGCAACATTCTTCAGGAGTGAGCAAAGGCTCAAAAGAAAGGTACTAAAGAAATATTTGGAGTATAAGTTTATCGAAAAAAACCCAAAAACTTCGAGGAAAACCGAGATTGAAAAATTCAACTTTTGTTGGTTTGGTTTGATCTATAGATTTAAAAACCCGATATAGTTGGTTTGATTTGGTTTTGATAAAAATCGAACCAACCCGGTCCATGTACACCCCTAGCTGTCAGGAGTAGCATATTAGTGGCGGCAGGTTTACGAGGAGGGTAGCCCAGCCGATGCAGCTTCACTTACATGGACTCAGTTTTCAGAGATGTTCTTAAGAGAGTTTGTTCCCCAGACCCTTTGGGATGCATGGAGTGCAGAGGTTGAGCATCTATGCCAGGGTACTATGTTAGTGTTAGAGTATGCTGCCAGATTCAGTATTTTGTCCAGACATGAACCTACTTTGGTTTCTACAGTTATAGAGCGAGTCTGTCGATTCATCGAGGGGCTCAACTCTTGTATTAGGTTCAGCATGGCTCAAGAGTTGGAGACAGATACCCCATATCAGCAGGTGGTAGAGATCGCACAGAGGTTGGAGGGTATGCGGGACCGTGAGAGAGAGGATAGGGAAGCCAAAAGGCCTCGAGGTACTGGAGGATTTAGTGGTGGTCACGCTGCAGCTACATGCCATCATGGTAGAGGCTATGTGAGTCGTCCAGTTCACTCAGTACTTCTAGCTTCTATTGGTGCTCCAGTTATTCCAAGGTCTCAGGTTGCACACTTTGCTCAGCCACTTTCTAGTGCACCTCCTGCACGGGGTGCCTTCAGCGGTCAGTCCAGCTGACCAGGCTCAAGCCAGTCCCAGCAGCCACGCCTACCGAGATCTTTCTTTGAGTGTGGTGATACCCGTCATATGGTGAGGGACTACCCCAAACTCAGGAGGAGTGCACCTCCGCAGACTACTCAAGCTCCACGGATTCAGTTAGGTCCACAGACTTCTCAAGCCATGGTTACTGCCCCAGTTGCCGCTCCACCTGCACAACCAGCTAGGGGTGGGTAATGGGTGGGTAAAGGTCGCCCTAGAGGGAAGGCCAGGCCAGATTTTATACTTTTCCGCTAGGACGGAGGCAGTCGCATCAGACACAGTCATCACAGGTATAGTTCCGGGTTGTCATTGAGATACATCAGTCTTATTTGATCCGGGATTCACTTATGCATATGTGTCATCTTACTTTACTCTGTATTTGGATATATCTCATGATTCCTTGAGTTCTCCTATTTATGTGTACACGCCTATGTGAGATTCTATTGTTGTGGACTGTGTGTATCGGTCGTGTTTAGTTGTTATTGGTGGTTTTGAGACCAGAGTTGATCTATTGTTACTTAATATGATAGACTTTGATGTTATCTTGGACATGGATTGGTTGTCACCCTATCATGCTATTCTAGATTGTCATGCCAAGACTGTGACATTGGCTATGTCAGGTTTACCATGGTTAGAGTGGAGGGGTCCATTGGATTATGTTCCTAGCAGGGTTGTGTCATTGCTAAAGGCTCAGCGCATGGTTGAGAAGGGTGTGATGCATATCTAGCCTTTGTGAGAGATGTCAATGCTGATACTCTTATCGTTGAGTCAGTTCTGGTAGTGAGAGACTTCCCAGATGTATTTCCAGCAGATTTTCCGGTCATGCCGCCCGATAGGGATATTGATTTTGGTATTGACTTGTTGCCGGGCACTCAGCCCATTTCTATTCGACTATATCGTATGGCTAGTGACGAATCTAGGAATTTACCAAAGGGTATTCAAATTTGAAAGAAGTGAAAAAAAACTCGACAAAGTGTGTTCAATGTGTGTTATATACCTCTAAAACATAATATTTTACCTATATACATAGTGCAAGTTTTCGACGAAGGGTGGTCAACTGACCACCCTTATAACCATGTGGCTTCGCCACTGCGTATGGCCCTAGCAAAGTTGAAGAGTTAAAGGAGTAGTTGCAAGAGTTTCTTGATAAGGATTTCATTCAGCCTAGTATGCCGCCTTGGGGTGCGTCGGTTTTGTTTGTGAAGAAGAAGAATGGTTCTATGCACATGTGTATTGATTATCCGCAGTTGAACAAGGTTACAGTGAAGAATAGGTATCCATTGCCACGTATTGATGACTTGTTTGATCTGCTACAGGGTGGCAGAGTGTTCTCGAAGATTAATTTGCGGGCAGGGTATCATCAGCTAAAGATTCGGGATTCGAATATTCCAAAGACCGTCTTTAGGACTCGGTATGGTCACTATGAGTTCCTTGCCATATCATTTGCGCTGACCAATGCCCCAACAACATTTATGCACCTAATAAATAGAGTATTCCAGCCATATCTTGATTCAATCATCATTGTGTTTATTGATGACATCTTGGTGTACTCCCGTAGTCGGGAAGATCATTAACATCACCTAAGGATCATTCTCCAGACCTTGAGAGAGAAGAAGTTGTATGCAAAATTCTCAAAGTGTGAATTCTGGCTTGATTTGGTGGCATTTTAGGGTCATGTTGTGTCGAGTGAGGGGATCGAGGTAGATCCGGAGAAGGTTGAAGCAATTCAGAATTGGCCCGGACCGTCTTCGGCTATTGAGATTCGAAGTTTCCTTATTTGGTCGGGTATTATTGCCATTTCGTAGAGGGTTTCTCATCCATTACTGCACCTATGACCAGATTGACCCAAAAGGGTGCTCCTTTCAAATGGTCTGAGGAGTGTGAGGCGAGCTTTCAAAAGCTCAAGACTGCTTTGACTACAACCCTAGTATTGGTGTTGCCTATGGGTTCAGGGTTTTATACTGTATATTGTGATGCGTTACATATTGGGCTTGGCGTGGTGTTGATGCAAAATAGTAGGGTGATTGCCTACGTGTCTCGGTAGTTGAAGGTCCCTGAGAAGAATGATCCATTTGGAATTGACAGCTATTGTTCATGCATTGAAGATATGGAGGCACTATTTGTTCGGTGTCCCTTCTGAGGTCTATACCGACCACTGGAGTCTCCAGCATCTGTTCAAACAAAAAATCTTAATTTGCGGTAGCAGAGGTGGTTAGAGTTTCTTAAAGACTATGATATCACTATTCTATATCATCCTGGGAAGGCCAATGTGGTGGCCGATGCCTTGAGTCGAAATGCAGAGAGCTTGGGCAGTTTAGCATATCTGCTAACAGTAGAGAGGCCACTAACTATGGATGTTCAGGCCTTGGCCAACCAGTTTGTTTGATTGGATGTTTAGAGCCCAATCGATTTCTTCCTTGCGTGGTTTCTCGGTCTTCTTTATATGATCGCATCAGAGAGCATCAGTATGAAGACCCCCCTTTGCTTGTCCTTAAGGACACAGTTGTAACGACCCGATCGGTCATTTTGAGTATTGTAGCCTCGTTCCCCCATTTATTGTTTATTCTGTGTTTGTTTATAGTTATCTGACTTGCCGGGGTGGTTGATTTGGTTTCGAGGATGTTTCGAAATGAATTGGGACATTTAGTCCCAAGGTTGGAAGCCTAAGTTGAAAGAGTTGACCGGATGTTGACTTATGTGTAAATGACTCCGGAATGGAGTATTGATGGTTCCGATAGCTCAGTATGGTTATTTTGGAGTTAGGAGTGTGTCAGGATGTTGATTTGGAGGTCCGTAGTTGATTTTGGCTTGAATTGGCGAAAGTTGAAAAAATGGAACTTTGGAGAGTTAAGAAGTTTGACCGAGAGTTGACTTTGTGGTTATCAGGCTCAGATTTTGGTTCTGGAAGTTGGAATAGGTCCGTTGTGCTATTTATGGCTTGTGTGCAAAATTTGAGGTCAATCAGAGTTGGTTTGGTATGTTTCGGCATTAGTTTTGGAAGTTAGAAGTTCATAAGTTCATTAGGCTTGAATCGACGTGTGATTCGTGGTTTTAGTGTCGTTTGATGTGATTTGAGGATTCAAGCGAGTTCGTATGATGTTTTAGGACTTGTTGGTTTGTTTGGTTGAGGTCCCGGGGGCCTCGAGTGGATTTCGTATGGTTCACGAATTGAAATTTGACTTAGGAGAGTTGCTGAAGTTTGCTGATGCTTATGCTTCTGGTTTTCGCTTATGCGATCACGAGGAGCGATCGTGGAGGGTAAGGTTTGGAAGATGGGATTTTGTTCTATGCGATCGCGTGGGTGGTGACGCATTCGCGAAGAAGGAATTGGAGGCCTAGGATTCCCACACGATGTTCATTGTGGTCGCGTGAGGCTGTCCACGATCGCGTAGGTCAGGGAAATTGGTCACCGTTCACGACCTGGAGTGTGCGTTCGCGTAGAAGGATTTTGGGTGTTGAAGAATTTGTTCTTCGCGATCGCGATGTGTAATCACTGGGCAGACTGTTGTTGATACCCAATTTTGCCCTCATATTTTTAAAAATATCATATATATACTTTCAAAATATCATTTCTGCATCATCACCAATTTACAAGAGTCATATAAGTACTTATGTAATTTTTCATAATTTTTAAGGCTTTAAAATTAATTTTCTTGCATTTAAATTATTTAAATATTTATTAATTACTCCTTCAAATTATTTTGTGATGACTTAATCATCCAAATTTATTGTTTACACCCACATATATGCTTTATAACATTTTTACTTCATTTTATATACTTACATCTGCATTTTTTGAGCTATTTACATATTTTTGCAATAATAGCCTATATTGTTTACAATTAATTGTATTTCGTCATTTTATTCAGGGTCAAAATAATTTTTTATATTTTTATAACCTTTATCTACAACAACAACAATAACATACCCAGTAATATCCGAGTAATTATTTATATTTTTATAACCTTCATCTATTATTTAAAAATGTTAAGTTGCATAAATAATATTTTTGATATTTATT